CGTTGATCACGTTGATCAAAGCTGAGGCTGGGGATTGCTGCGACAGCAACCTGCGGATTCTTGCTGCAGGAATCCCATGTGTGTTCATACAGATGCGGCTGCTGTGTCCAAATGACAGGGTGACAGTGGGCGCATCTGTCTGTGGCTGTCCATGTGTAAAGGTGCCCATACACTGTGCGATCAGGGGGACGGGCTTGCGATGATCGCAAGTACGATCTGCCTGTCCAAGATGGGCAGATCATCCTTTTTTTTTTATTACTTTACAACCATCGCAAGACTAAGGTCTTGCGATGGTTGTAAAGTGTATGGCCACCTTTATGGTACATGGTACCATTACCTGTGGATCAGGAAAGATGCTTGTCCCGGGACACAATCTCTCTGCATCCAGACGAGGCACACCTGGGACTCCTGCCACAAGAAGTTCTTGCTGCAAGAATCCCCAGCCGCAGCTTTGATCGCCATGTGCACAAGGCTTAATTTTTTTTTTCTAGCAGATAGTGAGTCAAACCTTCTTCCTATTGAAGACCTACAGGTGCCACTTTAGGGATTGTTTGATATCTGGCCCCTCTTAATGCTATGAATCTATCAACTAACTGCTACTTTACTACTATGTCCCATAATAATGCAGCGGTTGGAAGAAGGAACCAAAGTGCCAATTGGGGGAACAATCTTCTCTCTCTTGAGGTATCCAACACACATACTTGAAAGAAGATTTTACTGACCGCCTGCCGGAAACATAAGTATGAAATATCTTATTTTACAGTGTGCATGATATTAGTTCTGGTAGTCTAGGGCAGTAGTTCTCAAACAGGGTGATGTGGCACCCTGGGGTGCCTTTTGGTTTCGTCAGAAGTACCTTGAAATCTTCACACAGCGTCACGCCAGCACCATGGAAACGAATTACACTATTCCAAGCGGGGAGAAATAGAGAAAAGAACAGAAGTTTGCCTCTGTCCAGGCAAGGAATGATGCTAATCCAGGAAGGGGGGGATCCACTCAGAACAGGATATTACTTTGTCTCCATCCAGGCTTGATATGCCTCCTGTCCTCTGCCATGCTGCTACATCTGTGGCTCCTGATGTCATGGTAGTACTCTAAAGTGAAGGGTGCTTGTGACATAAACTTTGATGTGAAAGAGGGGGACTCTGATATGAAAAGAGAGGGCTCAAATTTAAATGGGGCTTCTGATGTGAAAGGGGGGCTTCTGATGTGAAAGGGGTATCCTGATATGACTTGATGTAACATGGGGGGATAAGAAGGGTGGACGCTAATAAGAGAGGGTAACTCTGATGTGAAGGAAGGGGGCTCTGATTTGAAGAAGGCTCCTGGTGTAAAGGGGAGCACCACTTTTTTTGGTGTTTTTTGCATGGGGTCCTCAAACTCCATTACATTTAAGATTGGGGTGCCTCCAGATTTTGCATACTTTTAAAAGGTGTCATGACTGAAAAAAGGTTGAGAAACGCTGGTCTAAGGTATTGGCAAAAGCAGTATACTTACTTGATGCACGCTCCCCCGGCAGTCAGCGCTTACATTGCCTCCCCTATGCTCTGGCTTGTGGACTGTCCCTCGGCATCCTCACATTCTACTTGATGATGTCAGTGGGCCCCCGATTGCCAGAGCGTAGGAGAGAAGAGGTTGCGCCTGCCCAGGCCCGGCGCTACCGCAAGGCAAGTCAGACAGCCGCCTGAGGGCGCTGCAGGGTGAGGGCGGAAAAAAACAGGGCATTTTGACAAGTACTTGTACTTGTCAAAATGCCCCGATGCTTGCGCAGGTAAGTAAAATACCTTTTTCCAGGTAGACCCAGACGAACATTTAACCCTTGCAGTTCATGGACAGCCCCACTTCAAGGAAAGTTTTTAGTTTTTTTTCCAGAATTCAGCTTTTAAAGCTCATGACATGGCTTCTTCTGACACCCGTGTAAACTAGGCTTTATTGCATGTAGACCCTACATGCCTCAAACAATCATACTCAATGTGGAAGAATAAAAAAAAGGTGTGTGGCCATTCCCACTTCAGCATGTCATAGCTGTCAGGAGTAGGAGCAGACACAAACACAGCATGGCTCCCACTTATGTCCAATGATCTTATAGACAGACAGACACAGACAACAAATGATTCTACTGATCTGCTATAAAGAAATCGGCCAATTTGCATACCCGCAGCACTGTCAGCTCTAAAAAAAATGAATAGTTTAGATCTCAACACCTCTTCCAACACAAATACAGACATTTTTAGATCGGAGGTCTTTTAACATTGTACAAATAAATAAAACATATTATAATAACACAAGGGATGGAGAAATGCATCTCTGTCTTTAGTCCAAGATATTTCACATGTATTCCAGTATACATGTATGTAGAATATTATTAATTAAGCATTTACTTTTGACATATCTGAGCTAGCACAGTACTCCGGAGACACACAAAGACTAGCACCATGCCAGAAAAATATATTCTGATACTCAAATGCATACACTGGTGACATTTTAGGGTTGATTTATTACAAAGAGCACCGAAAAAAATTAAGCTCTTGCCACCTTAGCAACCAATCAGCTTCATCATTTGGGTGTCAGTTAGACTAAAGCTCACTGGTAGTTTGCCATGGGCAACAGCCTCGTGTTCCAGTTTCATTATAAATCAACCTCTGTGATTTTTAAAAGTCTGATACACCATCTATAACACAAACATTTCTACAAGATTATCACTCATTAGACACCCATCCCCAGTTTTCATACATATTACCCAGTAACCCCATTTTACATAGCCAGACACCCCATTTTACAGCCAGACAAGGCATGCAAAGTTCACAGCTGCTATGTGGTCGCTTTTTGACCTCATTTATATCCACTACAGCGGTGTATTGATCATGACAACAGCAGTATTTATAAAAAAGGCTCACGCAAACCCAATGCTTTTCAAAGAGAAAACAAACTAGGAATCTGTGTCACATACAATACAAGATTACAAGCACAAGGATATAATCATATGAAGGTTATAGGAGGAAGTAGCTTGGAATGCAATAAAACGAAGCCAGAGATGTGAGGAGACCCGTCTGTTAGAACAAAATATATATATATGACTTGAAAAGCCACAAACTGAAATCTGACACAGTCTCTGCAAGAGAACAATGGACCTCTATCTGCCTACTCTAGTCGGAGAACCACGCACGCAGGAAATACAGTAACTAAAGGCCTATCAGTTCATATTCTGTAAAATCCAGCTGGCATCTAATTTTTTTTCCCATTTTGTATACCGTAAACACTACACTTCATGGAGGGGTGATCAAAGTGCTGTGTGAAGTACACATCAGGAAACTTCTTTTTAGGTTACATCTGTCACTCAGCAACACTTTCTGTCAAGACATAATTGACTCTTCAGAATTTTTAAAAGCTTCTTTTTTCAGATCACAAATCTACGGAAGGCTGATCTCATCTGCTGTAGCGATAATAATATCCACCATTTACAGTAATTCTGCTGCTTCCTATGAAAGAGTTTTTGCAGTAGCTTAGGTTCTACCGTGCAAGCACGTAACACGTATGTTGATCTAAGAAGACAGAGAAAGTACATTATAAACCTAATCAGAAGAAAAGTTAACATGATATATAAATTGAGTAACTTGTTTACAATGATCCCATTACTACATATTTTTAGATCAGCCTTCCTCAACCTTTCTACCCCAGGGAAGCCTGGGGTCATTTTCAGATCTCATGGTTCCCCGCTAATATTAATGTGTTTGGGGTCAGTGGGAAGAATGCTCCTTACATTGGTGGTCATTAGGAAGAATGCCCCTTACATTGGTGGTCATTGGGAAGAATGTCCCTTACATAGGTGGTCATTGGGAAGAGTGACCCTTACATTGGTAGTCAGTGCAAGAATACCCCTTATATTGGTCAGAGAAGAATGGCCCCCTTACCATGGTGGAAAGAATGTCCCTTACGTTGGAGATCAGTTGGTAGAATGCCCCTTACATTGGTGGACAGTGGGCAAAATGTCCCTGTACATTTGAGATCAGTGGGAAGAATTCCCCTTACATTGGTGGTCAGAATGTCCCTGTACATTTGAGGTCAGTGGAAAGAATTCCCCTTACATTGGTGGTCAGTGGGCAGAATGTCCCCGTACATTTGAGGCCAATGGGAAGAATTCCCCTTACATTGGTGGTAAGTGGGAAGAATTTCCCTTACATTGGTGGTAAGTGGGAAGAATTTCCTTTACATTGGTGGTCAGTGGGAAGAATACTCATTACATTAGTGGTCAAAGAAGAATGTCCCCCTTACCACGGAGGGAGTTATGTCCCTTACATTGGTGATCATTGGTAAGAATGCTCCTTACATTGGTAGTCAGTAGGCAGAATCTCCCTGTACATTGGAGGTCAATAGGAAGAATACCCCTTACATTGGTGGTCAGTGGAAAGAATGCCCCTTACATTGGTAGTCAGTGGACAGAAAGTTCCTGTACATTATAGATCAGTGGCAAGAATCCCCCTTACATTGGAGGTTAGTAGGAAGAATGCCTCTTACATTAGTAGTCAAAGAAGAATGACCCCTTACCATGGTGGTCAGAAAGCCCCCCAACAGACAGCTAAAAAGATGATTGGTGCCATTCCGTTGGCTTTTGCAAGTGGTACTGAACCCAGAACTATACAGGCATCATCAGATAAGAGGTCAACCAGCCACAGCTCAAGGAACCCCTAGCAACCTCTGGAGAAACCCTGGGGTTCCACGGAACCCTGGTTCTTGTCAAAAGACAAGGAATCACCATCTACAGAACAGCGAGCTGTAACATAAACAGAAAGCTTGGGCTAACCATATATAGAAGCTAAAATAGCATTTTGTCAAACAAAGGATGGAAGACATATTTATAGCAATCTACACAATGGGAAGGAACATAGCATGACACATCAGGGAAGCCCCATCCTATAGTATCATTTTCCAACCACAGTCAGGGGAGACCCCCAAGCACTGTAAATGAGTGACAGCTCCTGTGAGCTGGGAAATGCACTTACCTCCAGGAGCAGTGACAGCAAGAAGAATCCAGCACACTGCAAACTCTTCATGTCTCAATCACTCCCTTTAACCTGTGATCAGCCCTTCTTCATGTAGCATCAATACCCCCAGATCTCCAGAAATCTGATGAAAATAGCTGTCCAGTGCCCCAGGATCGCTGCTCAGTCTTTTACTTCTTATTGTGTTCCATCTGTGAACTCACATGCTGGATGTCAGATAATTAGGACATTCAATAAGGGAGCAGAGTCAATAGGATCGATGCTGGGACTCCTTGGCTGCTTGGAAGCTCATCGTCAGCAGATGACAGCTGTGGGTGTATCAGCCTCTTGTCGATGCCACAGTTTAGGCAGATCATGTGCACAAGATGACACAGGGCTGAGATCTGGAGGAGGGCAGGAGGGGGGATAAAGGCGACAAGAAAGGGACAGGCAGCCTGGATGTTTAACCTCTCATGGAAATGATATTGCAAAGATGGAAACGGAGAGAGTGGACTGAGGATCACAAAGTGAGGAGGGGATTATGATGACATGGAGGAGGAGGAAGAGGGGAGTGCCAAGCCTACTTCTCTGTTGTGTGATCTCTAGGAGCAGCTAGTAAGCACATCCTTTAATATAAACATCTTTTATTTCAGTTTCAGTGATCTGACAGGCATATGCTAATGACAGAGATCATGTTCAGAAAAGTGCTGAACTCTTTATGATCCCTGTTTAAATGGATCCTCTAATGGTGAAAAATAGGTGCACTGCCATTTGCTTTTAGGGCTGTGTCATCCTGATCCTTGCTTCACTACCAAGTGAGTCATTGTCCAGTAATACAGGACTGTTCAACTTTCAGACTGCATGCTTCTTCCTGGTCAGTGATTCAGTAGGCAGGAAAGCTTGGATCAGGCTAACACAAAGCCTCCACTTTAAAGCCCAGCAAACCAAAAAAATCATACCTTTACAGTGCGGCTACCCCAGCACTGCAAGGTTAGGTGCTTATATTTTTGTCTAGCGGAATGGGGTAAAGCAGATTTACTTACCTGATTCCCGCTCACTACGCTCCGGCTGGTGGCTGTCCCTCAGCATCCTCAGATGCGCTTAGACCAGCGCTTCTCAACCTTTTATTAGTCACGGCACCCTTTGAAAGTATGCAAAATCTCAAGGCACCGCAGTCTAAAATGTCACCGATTTTAAGAGGTGCCCCATGCAAAAACACAAAAAAGTGGGCTTCCCCCATCAGATTGCCGTGCCCCCTTCAATTCAAGATTCTCCCCCTTCATATCAGAGTCATCCTTTGCATCAAGAACCCCCCTTCACATTAGAAGCCCCTCTTTCATATCAGAGTTCCCCCTTAACACCAGGAGCCCCCTTCACCCCAGTCTTTATTAGCCCCTTGACATCACAGTCCCGCTACCACAAAATTTTGAGGCACCCCGGGTAAGCCAGAAGGCACATGTAGGTAGGTGCAGTATGGCCAACGGCCACTAGATGCCCCCATGGGGCCCTGGAGATAGATGCAGCTCTGGCCTAGGGAAGCTCTGTGTCCCAGGAGAGTTGATATATAGGGGGCGCCCGAGAGGGGGGAGGAGGCAGAGAGTACAGGAGAGCAGAAGTAAGAAAGGTGTCAAGAGTGCCAGAGTGAAGATTGGGTAACTAAATCTGCTTTATTTGAGCCAACTAGACAAGAACAAGTATTTAACTCTTGCAGTGATGGGGTATCCCCACTGTATTTTTGGTTTGCCCAGAGATAGATTTTAACCAGTTGACATCCGCGGTGTTAAACCCCCTTCCCATCCAGGCACTCAAGGCTTATTTTCAAGTTTTTTTTCTGTACTGAAATTGCTTACTGATTTTACTGTGCACCGTGAGCTTCCCACAATGTGCATTAGAGGGTGCAGCAAGTCAGATAGAGCCCACCCCATTTCATGGCTGGAGGACATCCAGCATCTTCTACCTCTTTCCTCCCAAGCCTCACTGTCCCTGGCCCACCACTTTCATTCATTGTATTTTAATTCTTTCACTCATAGAGGCTCAGCAAAACATGTATGTTTCCCTTATTTTTTGTTATGAAACATATCAATAAAAATTATGACAGTCATAATAGTAAGTAGACACCCCAAGGTGAGCTCATTTTTTTGCTGCAATTATTTAGAAATGAAGAAACATGCCAGCATTACATTGAGGGGGTTTAAACATGGAGTTTGGTAATAGTGCACTAGATTCATTAAATGTACAGGTCATACACAGAGGGAGGAGGGGGAGATAGATTATACATACAGTGAAAGGATGGAGATTAAGGGGTTAATATACAGAAGTGCAGGGGTTATAAGGGAGGTGAAGAGGTTATAATACAGGTCTCTGGAGAAACAGGATAGAGCTGACATATACAGGAGATGAGGGGTATGTGAAAGGGTTAAAAGCAATCCACAACCTTTAGGGTTTGTTCAGTATAGTTGCACAGTAAAATGCTGCATGTGTCTGCTAGGGCCCGCTAAGCCATGGTGCATTACGTTGTTACAACGCCAAGCACTGTTTACTTTATTAAACTTTATTTGGAGTGCACAATCTGTACACTTCATTCAGGTGCCTGCGCAGTAGCGCGGTCTACTGCATTACAGTGTGGTGGCCAGCAATACGGTCTAGTGCGTTTCAAAGACATGATGCATGTCTGCATTTTTTTCTGCAGGGCACCCCACCAATAATTGTTTTCTATGTACCGTAGCGGTGACTGGCATTGCTGAATGAAGAACACCAGTCACTGCATCTAGTGTGAACAGCCCCCTAGAACCTGCTACTGCTGCTGCTGCTTTTAAACTAATAAATGAATGATTCCTTCATCCATTCATTTATTCATTAAATCCTATTCTATTTTCTCCACTTCCTCTGTTGTGAAAGTAAGGGGAGGGCTCACCAGTGTAAACATTGCCATGTGATCCCTTGGAAGACCAAGCACTGCGAACGCATGGCGCAGAGCTTGTCCATCAAGCGGATGATCTCCCATATCTAATGACAACGGGAGCAGGGAGTTTATGTTTATGCACACACATAAACATAAACACGGGAGGGCGTACAGGTATGTCCGCCTGCCTCAGTAGGGTGCTGTCTGGCTATTGTAATGAAATGGTTAAAAACATTCAATGGCAGTTCCTATATTTCTACACTCACAGGTTCCCATGATTCCCACGTGAGAGTGCAAACATCTCCTAGTGCAAAATCACTAATTTGTGTTACTGCATGGGATTGTTGGGTGATTGTTAGGAGATTAGTCCCATGAGATTAATCCCTTAGGGTATAGTCAAATGGGAAAAACACTCCTGAGAATCTCATAAATGAGCAAATGTTGACTGATTCATCTCCTAATCCTATTTAGGTCTATGGAGGGAAAAAATGGAGATATATCACCAGTAGTTTCTGTTATGTAAGCTCTCAGGAACAGGGTCCTTCTTATCCTCTCTAATGAAATTGTATTGTAACTGTCTCCCCATATTTTGTAAAGCGCAAACTGCTGTCACTATATAATAATGGTAACTTTGAATGTGCCACAATACAAGCGATAGCATGACTAAAAATCTCCTGTGTAGCCTTAGTGTTTAGATTTGGTGCCCATTTAGGAGATGGGGTTGGGCGAGTGCTGGGATCAAAAATAAATAAGATAAGGTTTGCACAGCCTAAAAGAAAAATATAGCAAATCAAGCAACACAAAAGAATGGGGTGCTGTAACAGCCAACAATAAGGTAATCGATAAGTCAACATACCACATATTTTTTTAAAAATTAGTATATTGTCACATATAAATAGCCATGGCATAATATACACAAAAAATATACAGTATATACTGAAATTGGATAGTACCCCATAGACCATCTAATGCTATACAGAAAATGCTGACTAAAGTATAAACTATACTTGAGTAATTTTTTGGGGGAAATAATCAATACAAACATAACAGACACAAGAGTACAGGGAAAACAATAGGAAGAGCAGCGGGCTCCGTGTACTGATGAAGGTGGTAGACCAGCAACATTTGGGGGAAGAACCCCTTTATAAAGCCAAGTGCCACCTGGGGTGCTGGGATCCTCCCGTAGACCTGGATAATGCTTACTTCTAGGTTCTTGTTGTCTATGCCCACCACTTATCACAGAGAATGTATTTGCAACCCTATTGGATCATGTATGTGGGTGTAATAAAATAAGAATATCTACACAGGATTTGTTTTATGCCATTTATGTGCTATTGGGGAGAATAACCTTCACTTCTGTTCCAATATACACAAGTGAGAGCAAGTTTCTCCAAAGTAATGGGAATCCCCTCTTAGCCAGTTGTCACCAGAACAGATCTTCTCATTGGAAAATCTAATCTTGTTCTGATGACAACTCAAATTTCACCAAGACATAAAAAAAGAGGGAATTTCCCCAGCAGGGGGTCAGGCAGCAATAAAAACCTGATAGACATTCTAATCTTCCACAGCTCTATCCTAATGATCTTTGCTCATTGCTCTTTTATTGTTTTTTTCTGGCCGCACACATTACAATCTGAGAGTACTTACAAAGAAGTATGTGGTGTGAAAGCCTACCTGACTAGATATAGATTAAATGGATTGTTTTAGTTTCTATATGTTCCTATTTGGTCATTACTATGATGGGCAGCCTCACTAACCAATGGGAATGTCTGGCTCCACCAACACACACTTCTCTTTCGTTTGATCCCCCGCATCACCATTAAGGTGCTGACAGCAAGGGAGAGGAAGTCCTACATAATCTTCAACGTCTGAGAACTCTATCCCTGTCCCCAAGTGCTAGGTGTTCAAAGCTGCTACATGGGAAGCAAGTGAGTGAATTAAATTCTCCCCTATACCTAGAAGTAATCAGTATGTCACCAAACTCATACCAGCAGAGCAGCAGGACATGGTAGGTATAAGCTGCTGGTGGTACCACCATTAAAGTGAACTTGTTACTTTGCTCTACATAGCCAACAAGCATTTTGCTTTAAAGGACAACTGTATCTTTCTACAATTGTCCTTTAATAAATTCCTAGAGTCCCTACCACTAGAACAAATTCTCCAGTGGTTACTCGGAGTATGGCTTAACCATCTGAATGAATGATGCCACAATACGCATGTGCAGTACAAAGAGGCCATTTTTTGGACAAAGG